TATTACTGTGGTTTTTGTACTGTTCTCTAACTTATATGACATATAAAATGATAAATGGAGTGTTGATATGTCCATCCCATGCATAAAATTAATGATTCTGTTAGGATAACTGCCAGTAGTAAACTCTGAAAAACAAAGAAGGAACACTGCCAAAATTAGTTCCTGCTTTGTGCAATTCTTGAAAAAGTGCAGCAGAGAGCAAAGGCCAGAGCAGAAAAATGTAATTGTATGAAAGAAAATAAAAAAAAATGAAGTTTTCAATTTTTAAAGATCAAAAATTAAATTTTAATTAAAATTAAAAGCAGAACCCTCTCACGTTAAGAATTATGCAAGAGTTTGACCATTTTTAAAAAAATAGGGCATCTCTGGCTACCATCTATGGCTTCTATGTACCCCTGTGGTTTCTATGTATTGGTGACAGCCATCATACAGAGTTGTTTGAAAGCGATTTTCATATAATAGCCATTATATGTGTTTTGGTGAATTAATGCAGGTATTGTTATGCCATGTGCACATAACGCTATGGGTGAATAGTTGGTGCAGCAATAAAAACATTGTTAATGTTGCAAAGACTTAAGTTTAGAAGTAGAGTAAATAATTGCCATGTAAATGTTTAAGTTCAAGGACCCAGGCTTTCTCTCTGGCAAATAAAATTATTTGGTTTGCCCAAAGTTTCCCTAAAAATTTAGTACAACTCTAACATTCAAAACTGCAGAAATCTTCTAGGCTTGAGTACTACAGCTTTAATTATTCAAAGAACTCCTTCACCCTCCAATATTATTGGAATAGTCTGTAAGTGTTTCTGAAGAGTATAATTTTGGGGTTTGCTGTTTAAAGATTTGAAAAAATGGGAGGAAATCTAGATGTTACTGTTTTCACTTGAACTCATGGCTGCAAAATTTGCTTTTTCATCTGCTCAGAGAAGCAAGATTTTCTACCCTTGTGAGATATTGCTAAATTTCCAGTCTAGTGTGCATGACAAAAAGGAAAGGGTGGTGAGTTTAATAGAAACCAGAGCCCAGATGTGTGTTTCATGAATATCCTAATGAGTCAGTGGGGAATGGGAAATCAGCTTAGAATTTCGGTGCAGTATGAAGTTCTGAACTTAGCAAGCAACTGCAACTTCTTGTTTTAAATGACTCACCTACTAAGCTCTTGCTTTTTTAACCACGATTCACTGAATAAACTCCAATGGCTACAGTTTATTCTATAACTTGTTTCACAAAAAGCAAACAAAGCTTAGTTTAGGGCAGGTGTCAGCAACCCACGGCTCTGGAGCCGCATTCGGCTCTTTGGGCCCTCTGCTGTGGCTCCCTGTTGGGTGATCCCGCCACTGGCTGGCCCCACCCCTCGCCCTCCTCTCCCAGTTACTCCTCGCCTGACCTGAGAAGGTAAAACACAAAAAACAGAAATGAGAGGGAGGGAGGGAGACTCATTTCCCACTACTACCTTAAACACTCAAAGAGTCATTTGGACTCGTTTCCCACAGAAAAGAAAACACTGGGAGCCACAAAACCTGGATAGGCATGGCCGTGTGTGTGTGTGTGTGTGTGTGTGTGTGTGTGTGTGTCATGTGACTGGGTGGGAGTGACATTGAGTTGGCCATGCCCACCCAGGTTTTGAGGCTCCCAGTGTTTTCTTTTCTGTGGGAAATGAGTCCAAATGACTCTTGGAGTGTTTAAGGTTGCAGGTCCCTGGTTTAGGGCTTAACACACATTATAAATGCAGCTACAGTGTTCCTTTACATTCGAATAACAATTTTTTTAAAGAGGTAGGAAAATACCTTTGAATGAGCAGGGTGTTTTATTCCAGGGGAGCAGATTGATTTCATTCAGTGCCAGAAAAGCACCTCACTTTATATACATTGTTTTAAGATTAAGGGAAAAAATAGCAGGAAACAGTTGGATTAGCTTTAGGATATTTCAAAGGAATGGAAATGTTCAAATGTAAATCCTGGGAAGGGCCTCACAATGACCAGATATTTAGTAGACACTTTGTGTATGTGTATGACTACTATATATAGGCTTTTATATCTTAATGAACTCTTACTGAAGATTTGCATCAGTTACAGTTGGACTTGATAACTTTTCTCTGGTTCAGAAAATGATCAAAGGTTACTGCATTTGGATCATGATGTATAGACTGCAGATAGTCCCTTGATTTACGACCACAGTTGAGCCCAAAATTTCTGCTGCTAAGCAAAATATTTGTTAAGTGAATTTTGCCCCATTTTATGATGTGGCAAGAAATCACAGCAGTTGTTATTTAGTAACACAGTTGTTAATTGAATCTGGCTACCCCGTTGACTTTGCTTGTCCGAAAGTTGCGATCGCATAACTAGGACACTGCAACTGTCATAAATAGTCAGTTGTCAAATGACAACATTTTGATCATATGACTGTGGGGATGCTGCCATGGTCATACATGTGAAAAACGGTCATTTTTTCATTGCCATTGTAACTTTGAATGGTTACTGAATAAACTGTTGTAAGTCAAGGACTACCTGTATCATGAACCCAGTGCAATAATCCGTTACAATTCACTCCTCTAAGTTTGGAAACTTTCTGGCTACCTTTTGCTGGCCACATGGATATTGAATGCTCAGCTCACTGGGTTGCAGCCAAAACCAGCACTACTGCTCTTATGTGCAGAAGTGGGGAGGCAAGCTGACCCTTGACCAAAAGCATAAAATTCTGTCTGCATTTTAAACCTTACCCTCTTGATATTTCCATAGGCATGTGCTTTGTAAAAGAATAATTGCACTACCATTTGGGAAGGTTCTTGCTTGAGAGATTAAAAACCATGGCTTGTGTAATTCAATTGCATCTGGAGATGACAATCTGGACCCTGTCTTTGGGAACCTGGTCGTGCCCCTCCCAAGATTTCCAAGGAGATCTCTGCCTCCTTTAGTTCTTGGCTTCCCTTTCCCCTCCCCAGCTGGGGACAAGGAGAGAAGTCAAGCACATTAATTGAAAAACTTGGCTGCAGTTCACCTTAAACAACTGCAATATGCATGGCGGAGATTCAAGACCAAATTTGGAAATGTGCTAGTAAGGGGGCACAGGGGGTTGGGGCTGTTGGGTGGGGAGAGTTCATTTCTCCAATCTTTTGAAATATATATGGAGTTAAAAAGATTACTTCTATCAGTTGTTTTTATTAGGAGTTTGCTTCTCAGACATTTTTGCATGAGATGTCATTCTGGTGTAACAAGCCCTTAATTGGCTATTGTGTCCTGCTGTATTTGTGAAGAACAAGTAGTCAGTCCATGCATAGAAATGCACCTATTTTCAAGACATGGAAGTATTAATAATGTTTTCTTTGTGTCTTTATGTTATTAAAAATATGAGAGATTATAGTAGTAGGAAATCAAATCTGAGTGATGACAGTAATAGGAAATATTTCAACTGCAACAGGGAAGGTCAGTCATATGGATGTCTCCATCCACTGTACAAACTTCCATTTCCTAACAAGAAGACTCAGTTTTTATAGAGAGATATATAGAGTTAGGTATATGATATTTTAAATCTGATTTCCTACTACTTTAATCTCAGATTATACATATGGCACAAACCTTTAGAAAAACAATGAAAATTAGGCTGTTTCCTTTGGGTCAAGATGCATAGAATTCTTACATGGAACAGTATGATAAATTTGAATACCTGATTATTAATTAATTGTTATATTTATTTTTAGTTTGCGATAATTTGTTCAGGGTATTTTTGTTTACCAATTTACTGCATGCTATTTAGAGTTGCATTGTTTGAATGGAGCAACTATATACATGCTTGAAATAAATCAATAATCCTTCTGTGAGCAAAACTGGACATAGAACATGACAGGTCAAAGTTTCCCATGGAGCTTCTTTAACCAGGGTTTCCCCTACTTGAGTCCCTAATTAAGTGCTATACCACACAGATTCTCAATAGCGATAATCTTTCTCTTTTTAGAAGCAGGGGGGAAATAGATTTGTAACTCTGCATGTCGCCTGGAATCAGATAAGTAAAAGTGTTATACTTGAGGATTGTTATGGAGCTAATTATACAAGAATAAGGAGATTTCTTTAAGATATCTTGTCTCATTATGTTTTTAAGGCCAGAACCAAGATTAGGTCAGATAAAACAAAAAGCTATTTGGTCAGGGAATATTATCATTCATAATAGAATCTTACATTGCTTCTCAGTATAGATACATGTAAAGTGGTACTCATCTGCTCTGAAACTCATTCAATTTGGTACTCAACACATTTTGACTTAAAACTTTTCTCCTAGTACTCATTGTTTTATACTCAACGCACAAGCTAAAACTTGTCAGTGCCGGCTACTTTGTGACTCACTACCTAATTCCTCATGGGAAAAAATAGTTTGGTACCTATCGTTTTTGGTATTCACATCCTCACATCCTGGACACAAACTGTTTCAACTCCTTCCCTCAAAACGACGCTATAGAGCATTGCGCACCAGAACAACTAGACACAAGAACGCCATCACTCTGCTAAACAAATAATTCCCTCAACCCTGTTCAACTATTACAAAGTCTGCACTACTATTACTGTTAATCTTGTTGTCACTCCTTATCATCCCCTCCCACTTGTGACTGTATGACGGTAACTTTATTGCTTGTATACTTACAATTTATATTGACTGTTTCCTAATATGATTGATTGCTTATTGTACGCTATGACTATCATTAAGTGTCATATCTTATGATTCTCGACTCCTGACAAATGTATCTTTTCTTTTATGTATACTGAGAGTATTTACACCCAGACAAATTCCTTGTGTGTCCAACCACACTTGGCCAATAAAGTATTCTATTCTATTCTTCTATTCATTGAACCTCTCAGAACCAATTAATGATGAGTACTGAAGTACCACTGTATGTAGTTCTATTGTCCTTTTGCAGAAAATGTTTTCTAAAGTAGTTTGGGAATAGGACTCATGCCCTTGTGAAGCATAAGCAAAATGCAGCCTGAAAGTGATATATTTAACATGCCTTTTCAGGAAAGACTGAAGCAGTGATCAAAAACTTCAGCCCACACTATAAGCGCCAATATGCTGTATCCTTTTGCAAGCACATCCAGAATGAACTGGAACAAAATAGAGATCTGCAGTCTCAATTCTTAAAAATAAAGGTAACAAGAAATATTATTATTATATTTTTATGTTTCCATCCCATGTTTTAGGCAGCTAGTATCAGTCTTGCAAGGTGGACTAGTAGAAACACAGTCAGATAAGTTAATTCTACTCTATTGTAAAGTTACATAAACAAAGTCTCATAAGTGTCAAAATAAACTTCTTTCCTTATCCCTCTTTACAGCCCATTAAAATCAGGAGAGCCCCTTCTGAACTATTTGCCCCAGCTACATTGCTGCTGCAGGCTAAGCTTTTATCTGACCATTTACTTGGCTTCATTTCTTTGCTCAATCTCCCAAGATCATCCCCACATACCATTACCATTGGCCATATCTTTGTTGTGCATGTTCCCATTATTTCTCTGAGTTCAGCTGCACTAGATCCTTCCTACCCTCAGTAATCCAGACTCTTTGTAGTTGTTGTTATATCACAATCTGACAAATTGTGTTTGAAGGTTCTAGTTGACTATGAGGGTTACTGATTGATCATGCCCTCATTTGTGCTCTAGTTCACACATCAAATGGGGTGCAATGGCTCGGTGATTAAGATGCTGAGTTCGTCAGTCAGAAAGGTCGGCATTTCAGCGGTTCAAATCCCTAACACCATGTAACGGAATGAGCTCCCATTACTTGTCCCAGCTTCTGCCAACCTAACAGTTCAAAAACATGTAAAAATGCAAGTAGAAAAATAGGGACCACTTTGGTGGGAAGGTAACAGTGTTCCGTGCGCCTTTGGCATTTAGTCATGCCGGCCACATGACCATGGAGATGTCTTCGGACAGCTCTGGCTCTTCGGCTTTGTAACAAAGATGAGCACCACCCTCTAGAGCTGGAAACAACTAGCATGTATGTGCGAGGGGAACCTTTTGTTGTGACCAAGGCTTCCTGAGACAGTAACAATCACATGCTGTTCCCAAAATCCTTGTTTTTATTTATATGGCTATGAATTATATGCATTCATAGCCCGTAATGAGTCCCAAACAGTTTATGAATAGTCCCACAGAAATCTGCCCCAGTCTTTTGGGATAAAGCTGATAAGCACCCACCTTTATCTCCCTTGAAATGCTGCCAACAAGTAAATTGCCAAGTACAAGGCCAAATGGAGCACAAAGTCAACACGGAGCTTCAGATTTTAAATTGACCAGAACGAACAAAGTTGCTTCCTGTAAAGGCTTATGTCCCTTTGCTCCTCCTTTATGTCTTATGGCAGGGCCCAATCATCTCCAAGTCTTACTCCTGAGTTGCCCCTTTTGTCTTAACTTGCCTTCTTCTTGCCTTCTGGCAGCTCTGTGCAAGCGCACACTGGGAACAGGCTACCCCTTTTCCTTTGCCTCGCTGATGTCAGATTCTGGAGGCTCCTGAGTTGGCACATAACTCTCAGATGGCCCTGGCCCTATCTCTGTTTCAGACACAGATCCTTCGTCTGAATCCTCCCCAAACTTCAGGACTGGCCCATGTTCCCCCACACTGTCCGACTCTGCTGCCAGCTCCGCAGGCCACTGGCGGACCACACCACCTTTACATTTATCTTTATCACACATCAAGCTAAGCCAGAATATGATTTCATTTGGTGCATTATGCAAAAATGATTTTGATGTGTGAATGATTTATGCCTTAGTCAAGATGCCAGTTTATCTAGTTTTGGTTTGTTTAATCAACCAGTATTGAGGAAACCATGGTTCAATATAGCACAGTTACCCCTTTGAATTGCAGCTATTTCACAAGAGCCTAAAATACTATTTTTGTTCTACTCCACACACAAATTGAGACACATGTCTTCCCAAGAACTCTGTTGAACCACAAATGATGAAAATTCCTAAGCAAAAATTATCAGCATGGGTAGGGTAGAGAAAATGAAAACATTTAAAAATAGGCTTCATTGTGAAACAATCCAAGAGTTCATTGGAATTAGACAGCTAATAAATTTAATGAATTAACTAACTAGCCAAGTAAACAAATACTGTAAATTGGTTTTGTTTCCAAGACCTTTTCCTCTCAAGTGAATATTGAAAGCAAAATATTCGGGGTTCATTAGAAAGCTGAATTTGAGGATACAGGCCTCAGTCATAGTATACTGTAATCCTCTTGTAGTAGCATGAAAATGTCATCCGTTCATATCAGTACTTTGAAGTTCTACACCAATCTTTCCAAGATGCTAGATCCTTTTCCCCATTTTACAAAAGAAAAGGAACATAACGCTTACAAGAAACTCATTCTGTTTTGTGATGTCATTTTTCTGCAGCCACCTGGATCATCCAGCATGGTCCTTTATGAAGGAGAAGTGTCACATTTTGCTGAAGACCTGAAGAAATGGAAAGAGAGATACATAGTAATTAAAAATAATTACGCTGTGGAAAGCTTTGAAAGCAAAGAGGTAAACAGTTGATTTATTAAGTGCTGAGGCAAGCATGAGGTTTAGCACTGCTGATCTGTTGGGTTCTATTCTGAAATGCAAAAATGAATGACTATACTTTCTGAGCCATTGGGCACATTTGTAACCCTTAGAGCAGTGGTTGCCAACCGCTGGGCCGTGGCCTACTGGTGGGCTGTGAGAAACTTTTGGTGGGCTGCAGAGAAATCTCACCCCCCCAGAGCACCTCCCCAAAGCAATTAATCCAGGCTGTGCAGAAACACAAGGCTGCGCTGCCCACGTGGCATGCAGGAACCCTCCCCGCCCACTCACTCCTTATCCAGCAAACCTGCCTGCTAAATTGCTATTCTTCCTTTTTCCAACCATCATCTGTTCTGCTGTGCTTGGAGATTTAGATTAGCTAGGAAGCAGGAAATGGTTGGATTTCTTGCTTTCTAACTAGTCTTTAGATCTTCAGCTCTGCTTTTAAGCACAGCCAAACCTCCCTTAGGACTGAAGGTTCTATTATTCAGTGCAGACTCATGGCAGGTAAATTTGAGAGGCTGAACTAGCCAATGGCAGATAGATACATCAGTGAATGATTCTGTGAGCCTGCTTTGCCTGATTTTGGGTAAAAGTTGCTCTTTTTTAATAAAAAATTCAACATTTACACACATGATGTGTTGTGAGTTGATTTTGTGAGTTTGCTTGCAAGCAAATTTTATGTGACAGGCTGAGCTAGCCAATGGCAAATAGTTTTCTGAATGAATCTGTGATTCTGAGCATCTCAATCTGCCTGCCTGCTTTGCCTGCTTTTGGGTAAAAGTTGCTCTTTTTTTATAAAAAAATTCAATATTTATATAAATATTTATAATATTTACATACAAACCATGCCCAGCCAGTCACATGACCACCAAGCCACACCCACAAATTAGGCCATGCCCACAGAACCAGTTAGTGGTCCCTGGGATTTAAAATTATGAGTTTGGTGGTGGTCCCTGAGGCCCAAAAGGTTGGTGACCCCTGCCTTAGAGCATATTATAGGCAGATGTGTAAAATGAAATACTAATTTACACATTGACAAAATCGGAATTGAGGTGCTTTGCCAACTCATTCCTGAAGTCCACCCTATCAACCCACATTCATGTCCATCCCCTCCCAAGGAAGTTGGACATGCTTCCCTCAAAAGCCTTGGGCTATAGCCACCCATGATTTCTGTTCTTCAAGAACATTTATAGACAACCTTAAACATAAAGAAGATAAAACAAGATGCCAGTTTATATGTTATTTTCCATTAAAAAAAAAGTTTTAAGAAGATATTGGTATTCTAAAGTGGTTGTCTTTTTATCCAGACCTCAAACTATTCTGGCCCAAAAACATATACTGTATATGAGTATTGCCATTTTCCAATCCTTTTTGTGTCTCAGATTTCCTTTGTACCTTTGAGAAATCAACATATCCAAAAAACATCAGTCTTTTCCAAAAAACTATCCGATTTGTATGCATTCTTTTCCACTTTGCAGCTTGATGTATTCTCAGTATGGTATTAGAGGTAGATGTTTTCAGAGTCAGACAACTGAAGGGTAAGCAAGATTACTGAAAGTCACAGAGTCATCATTGGTGATTAGCAGACTGTTGTGCCATCCTGAGAGATCATAAATTTGATATTTCTGTGGTGGAAGCTTCTAATTAAATGCCTAGATATTTAAAAAACTTGAGTTGATTATTTGTTTCTATAATTAAAGTGATGATGAATACAATATTTTAATTTCAGAACGGCTACTTTCCAGATTTTCATCTTGAAAATAAGATACTAATGCACATGGGCTTCACCTCAAGCCTACATGAATCTGGGCAGCTAATGATATTTAAAAACAGAATAAAAACAATATAAGAATATAAATAGCAGCGTGGGTGGGGGGGCAATCAATTCCTAACAGTAAATACAACCAAGAAATGGCTTCACTTGCATCATCAGGGACCTAGGTTCATTGATAAAACCAAGTCTTCCAAACTTTACAAAAAGTCAGTAGGGTTAGGGTATGTTTGATCTCCATGAGAATGATGTTCTAGAGGGGACACAACAGAAAAGACTCTCTTTCCCTGATGGGACCAGGAGCATTCATCTCCTGTCAGATCTACAAGACAGGATGATATAACCAGGGAGAGAAAGTCCTATAAATAACCTAGTCCCAAGCCATGAAGACCAGTACTTTGCATTGAATCTGGAAGCATACTGGCCACCAATGCACCTTGCAGAGCAGAGATGGCACATGTGCTATATGACAGACACCCATGACCACCTGTACCACTGCGTTTTGCACCAACTGAAGCTTCTGAACACTCTTCAAGGGCTGCTCCATGTACAGCATGTTGCAGAAGCCCAGTTAGGACACCAATCTGAGATTGGTTTGTGGGCTAAAGGGGAGGAGGGGGAAAGAACAATAGAAACTTCATTTAGTGAGACTGGAAAGATACAATTAATGATTCACTTTCCCTAGAGAGGCTAAAGAGACAATCTGCCTTATTTACTGACAGTGTCTTTTTCCAGCTGATAATGATGCTAAACAAAAATATGTTTATACATGTGAAATGCTTGCACAACTCGATGAACCCTATTTCCACTGTTCAAAGCATCAAACAGAGTTGCATTCTGGCTGCTTCATTATCTAGCTTTTAAATTAACTATCAGGAGAAGATCTTACAATATAATATCAGAGAGGCCATTCCATTGGTTAATTGTTCTCATGTTTGAAAGTTTCTCCTTAATTCCAGGTTACTTTTCTCCTGGCTTAGTTTCCATCCATTATTTTGTATCTTGCTTTCTGGTTCTTTGAAAAATTTATTTACTTCCTATTCTGGATTTTGAAATTTAAGTGTTGTTTATATTGTCTCATTCATTTTTAGCATCCACTTTATAAGTTGAGGTTGCCTTTTTGGATTTTTTTGGTTTTAAAGAAAAACTTTATTAATTTTTCTTAATTCTAGGCATTCCAGAAAGGAGTAAGTTCAAAAACTTGTGTTCTCCCTGTTGGAGGCAAAGTGCTAATTACAGGGGAAGAATATAACTTGCTATCTGATAAGCATTTTCCAGAACCTAATGGTAAGGTATAGCCCATTCCTCTTTATATTTTCTACTACTTTGTGTATTAATTGATGTTCTCTTTCTAGTGTTACATTGTCTTTATAAAGAGTTATATACATATTTTAAAGGCATACATTTAATAAACTTCTCTATCTTACACTATAAAATGTTGTCCTGTGATTGTCCTGAAATGTACATATAGTTTGAGTCATATCAAGCTCAAAATCCAGAGCAATAATAGAAGCTGAATAGAAGCAAAGAAAGTAAGGGACAGAGTCATAATCAAAGTCAAGTAAACACTAATATTCAAGAAAACAGGCACAGATGCACAATCCTGATGCCAGAGACAAACTACTCAGATTAGGGATGGTATGTGTGTATGCATATATTAAATTTATATAACTGCTCATCTGATGCACATAACTTATACACTCTGAATCTGGATAATTGTGCATTCAGACTAAGGAATCTGCTCACTGAATGCTCAGATAGGCTGATGCTACAACTTAGGTGGTATCTAGAACACACAGAGTTACAGTGAAAACTAAGCATTGGTGGCACAAATGTTAAGGCAAGTTTACCTGTCTACTGGGAATTTGTCTATAATTATATGTAAACCTGATGGAATGACTAAAAACATAAATGTTTGCATATTTTTAAGGTTCCAGTGAAAAGGAGAATACCCAGGCCTTTGTTGTCCCTCCAAAGGAATTTCCAGTCTACCTATGGCAGCCTTTCCTTAGACATAGTTATTACTGTTTTCCGGATTCAGAAGCCCAGAAGCAATTCAGCACCATGTTGAACGATTGCATCAGACACTTAAACCATGGTGAGTCTAGCAGACATAATCTGATAATTTTGCTATTGTTTTGCCTTTCAGGAAAAGATCAGTTTGATCATTGGCTGCTAACCAATCCATGTAGCAAAATTAAAATATATTATTCTCTTCATTACCATGATAAGTAATTACATGCTTAAAGTTGACTCAACAACTTTTAAAAGAGAGTGATATGGTTTCATGGTATATACGCTCTTAACTCTTTAAGCATTGGCTAGTGGGTGGCAGATGGAGAAACCAACTGTGTTGACAGTAGCAAAATCATCCTATATATTGTGGGGAGAACTTGTCTGGTAATTCAGTCAAACATGACGAAGGCAAACACTGGGTTGGGAATCCTATTATTTATTTCCTTACCCTGGCAAGGAAAGAAAGTTGTAGAGTTACTACCAACAATGTAGTTTGTAGCTTCAAACTTTGTCCAATCTTTGTCCATTAGAGAAAATACTTTCTCATTTCTTACTTATTGGCTCTTCAGAGCATAAGATTTGCCAGAAAGAGGTGATACCAGAGAAGCATGTAGAGTTTGCACTGTGACCTCACAATGGTTTGCCATGCTGATCAGACCTCCAAATGTTGTGGCTGCTTCTGAACATAACGTTGAAATGTAGAATACTCTTATTCAGAAAGCCTGATATGCTTTTAACTTCCTAAATTACATACATATATACTAAATATCACAAAAGAGCAGAAAGGGGAAAAATTCCAACTATTGTGCTTTAACAATTTCATATGCATTTGAAATTTGCATAACAATATTTTAAGACTTCCCAGGAAAAGCCTGCTGCACTTGTTGAAACAGATAATATGTGACCCCTGTTTTTCTCATGCAGAGTAATTAGCCATATCTCTCCAAAACTCCTGAATTGATTTGTTCCCTGACCATTCTGCTCTTAAGAAAGTTTTTTTCCATCTTTTTTCAATCAGGAAGATTTCAGAATAATCAGTATGCATTAAGCCATTTGATTAAATTTCTCCCATTTTGCCAGTGTAGGGAAAAAGGGAGAAAGTTGGAATGGCTAAAGTTACCTTTATCTAAGCAAAGGGGAAATGTGTATTTAGCTGTTTCAACTTTTTTCTTTTTGGCTTATGGAAGCCTCTGTTAGTTTGTGTAGGCAAATGGGGAATAAGTGGTGGCAAATAGGTAAACACTGTTCTTTCTGAGCCCTTTTAAAAACCAAGTGAGAAACCCAGACTGGAACATAAAACTGGGATGATCTCAGTCAAAGTGTGTTTTATCATCAATATATGGCAAAAAGGTAACAGACTCAAGTTTTAGCGTTGAGATAATTTCATACTCAGTATATGATTTCATATGTATTTTGAAATGCCTATCAAGTATTGACTGATTTTCAAAACATCACAATTCTAGTAGAATTGGTGGAAGAAACTGGTGATGTAAGGAGTAACCCTCACTCCGTGTCAGGATGTAAACGGCCATGGCAGGCCAAAATACGCTTTAAAAACCCCCGAAGCTGGAAATTCAGGAGTGGTTATCATATCCTGTACCATTTTTATCTTCCTTCTTCATGAATGAGGCCCATTCCTTCCAAGCTATAGTTCTGTAACAGAACTGTGAAATATAGAGTGTATTTGGCACCGAAAGTTTAAGGAAGATTAAGTCCAAGCCTACATATGGTGCTTCAAATCCCACAGGAGGAACACATGATCTGGTATTTTGCAAACCATTGAATCTGTAAGCTTCAGGGAACATGTTTGGTAAGCAGTCAGCTGAAGTCAATTTCCTGTAAAGCATTCTTAAAGGGAAAGTTTTCCATTTCATGGCTTATAATTCCCTTCTTATTCATTTCTTAAAACCTCAGTAATAAAGTCATCTGTGTGGAGTCTTATACCTTTTGTTTTGTCCTGGGAAAGTAATAGAAGAGCTCAGTTTTTCCTGGCACGCTGTGAATCTTCTGTGACTCTAGATCTTCAGTAATGCTTTAGTTTGCTCAAAAGGCCGAACTGTTTCCAGACGTGCAATCCTCTTGGTAGTTTCTGTTTTAAATTGAATTTCAAACCATCACTTTGGAGGACGATAGGGTATTTGCAAAATGACGAAAGTAGTGTTTTCGATTTTTGAACAGTTTTGGATTTTTTTTTCCTGAAATGTTTGCCCCTTCTCTTCCTCCTCTTACTTCTTCTTGTCAGGAGGGTAGAACTACAATACTCTAGAAAGTTCTTCCACTTATTAAACATTTGGATACATTGAATTAAAGATTTTCTGGGGTAGATGCTTTTGGTGCCTTTTGTTTTGCTTTTTATGATATACTTGTTGCACAAACTGACATTTCAGCATTCCTAATCATGTGATCTTGTTTTGAGGAAGGAAGTTCATTGCAATATGTTTTTAACTGAAGGTTAGTATGGGATCTAGCAACAAGATGGCAGTGGCTTGACTGATTTCCTTATCTGGCATCAATTACCTCAGATGCTTATGTGATGAGGTGGACCTTGGGAGACAAGACAAAGAGATGCAGCCAGGGATCCTGCAGCAGGAATGTGGGATAGAGAATTGTATTTCAGGTTTGCAAGATTCTGCTAATGTAACTTAACATTAAGTAGAATTAGCTCATCTAGTTGTGTTTCCTGTCTGGTGAACCTAGTAAGGCTGATATGCTATCTCATGAAAATAACTAGCGCCAATAGAATCTTAAGTCTATTTAAAAGCTAAACAGTTATCGATAGCAAGTAGAGACACACTGCAACTAATACCCCCAGCCCTCCTGTTATAGCTTGCGTTCTCTTGAGAGGTATTGTAGTTTTATATGCCAGTCTGATTAGTCTAAGAAAATTAAATTTGATGCAATTTGATAAGAACGAGGTCAGAATTTGTTAAGGCTGTGGGAGAAAGGTCTCCATTTTTGATTAATTTTGCCCACTTGCATGAATGAAGGAACAAAGTAAGAATAAACAGATCATGTGCAGTAGCATATTCACAATAGATCAGGTTGGGCTATAAATCCTTATATTATATGCAAGAGTGAACTTAATGGGCAGCATACAAATTGAATAATAAAGAAGAATGGTTAATGTCGATTTAAATTTCCAGCACCCATGGCTATCATTCTTCAGGCATGCTGGTACTTCTTATCTGCAAAAAAAAAAAATACAGGTAGTCCTCAATCTGCAACAGTTCATTTAGCGACCATTCAAAGTTACAATGAATGGTATTGAAAAAAGTGATAGTTTATGATTGTTTTTCACATGACGGTTGCAGCATTCTCATGGTCATATGATCAGGATTCAGACATTTGGCAACTGATTCATATTTATCATAGTTATGGTCTAAACTATGATAGTCTAAAATTCTTTAGATGCTTTATCTGAAGAAGAAACACTGAAATCTTCACTTTGAGATTTATTATTGGAAACATTTCTATGGTACATTTGGTTGTTATCATCCTTGGGTCCTTGAAATTGTGGAACTAAAAGATTTAAATTCCTAAAATACATTTATATTTATTACCTCATTCTAGTCCTTCTGCTTTGGGCACCAGGTTTCAGAAAATTCCAGGATAGAAATTACACAGCACTTATTGCAAATTATTAGGAAGTATTCATACAAATATCAAAACCTGCAACATTTGTATTCAATAATGTGTAACTCTGCATATGAATTATGCAATTTTTCAACGGCTATAAATACAGCATATGGATACAGGCCTGTATCCTGTTTGGAAGTGACCTCATCTAATTTCTGTTGGTGGTTAGCAGCTTTTCTATCACATGATGTGGCTAAGGAAACCTCTGAGTCTTGGCTCTTTGCATTCTCAAGCAAGTCAGCTCTTCTTAACAAGAGATGATACTCAGTGAAGCGTCTTTAAAAAGAAAAGTCAAGCTCTCAAGTCTTCCAGGTTAACAAACTGTAGTCAAATGCTGAACCACAAAGCTGCTATTCAAAATTCAACCTCAGAACACTGTAGAATTCTCCTGCATTAAAAAAAGTAAAAAGCAGGGGAAATGATTGCAGCCAAGACTTCCTATAATGCAGCTGGATCCTCAACTACAATAATCTTTTGTAAACATATGAGATTGTACATAACTGGAGCTTGCATCCTTTGCTGAATATTCCATAATTTCTCCTACTATTTTTTTCAAACTTCTCTCTACAAAAGTAAAACATTGATTTTTTTTTTAAACACAGTATTCTTGATTCCCAGTTTTCCTAACAGGACTCTTTAAGTACAAAAATTATGAAATTTTGAATAATTCTTCCTAATCACCCATCCTATTCATGTCAGAGGAACTGTTCAAGGTGGTTGCGAGTTAAAAGATTAGCCAATGACATCACCATTGCCCTAGAAACACCTGTCGGGGCTCCTTTCATGTCAACGCAAGGAGCTGGAGCGAATGATGGGAGTCCACCCCACCACGCAGCAGGACTCAAGTCTCAAATGTGGTCCTGCTAATTTCCAACCCAACATCCTAACCACAGGAGCCACTGTGCTCTCTTCCCAATCTAATTGCACAGGACAAATTAGGCTTCTGATTTTTTTTTCTTTGGAAACCTAGATGACATCTTTAACTTACAAAATTTATCTACAAAGATTCCGTCCTTTAGCTTGAACTCTAAGAAGCACAAGAAAAGTTCATGGCATCATACATGTAAGCAACAAGGCCACTTGGCCAGAGCTATGAAATACAATTAGTCTTCTTGTTTCCTCTTTTATAGCTTATGGTTCTAGTCTACATGATTTAAGCACAAACATGAGCTGACTACTAAAGTTTGAATAAAAAAAGGGGGGGGGGCTGTTTAAGGAGCAAGTATAGCATGGAGACTAAGCTCCAAATTAGAAATCCAAATTTTGCCTGTGCTCTTAACTTACTAAGTGCTGTGAAGCAGCTAAATCTGTATCCACTTTTTATCTACTGTATGGAAATCATAACAGATATTTTAAGTGTCTTTTGCAAATATCACCAGATAGTTCACGGGAAATGCATTGGACTTTATAAAAGTATTTAAAAGATAATAAATTGTTTAATATTTG